TTACCAAACTTATAAATGAAAATGAATTTCCGACATTCACCGCTCCCCCTCCACCCAGTGTTCTAATTTTCCGCGATCGTGGCGCCATGCGGTGAACAGTCAAACTAAACAACAAGTTTCTCAAACTACAATACAAATGATAATTAAAAACTCGTGAAACTTCAAATCGAAAAACTGCAAAATCTAAAAATCTAATGAGTTACACATAAGAAAATTGAAGAAAGTAAAAAGAAAACTTGAAAAATTGCAAACAGAAAAATTGAAAAAAATTGAAATTGAAATAACAAAAATTATATAAAATCGGAACACTGAAAAATTGTAAAAATAAAGAAAATAAAAAACTGAAACGAAAAATTGCAAAATCTAGAAATTGAATTGAAAACTAGAGAAAATGCAAATCGAAAAAATGAAGGAACAAAAAAAAAATAAAAAATTGAAGAAAAAATTCAAGTCAAATAAGCTGCGGGAGCGTTACAACACTGGTTTTTACTTTATAGAGTTTTCTTTTAACAACAGGAAAATTAAACATGTTTTCAGTTTCTTGTTGGGAAAAGAAGACTTCGTATATTAAGATAAAATGGACAAAATATAAGCCCCGCCCACCCACCCCTTCTCCATTGTGATGAATATTTTATTCATCATGAGTTGACGGGCGGAATTTAGTTTGCAAAATCTTCATTTCTCTACAAGAAATTATCATATGAAATATATTTTTAAAATGGTAGAATTTTTTAGAGAAATGTTGATGTTACATTTAAACTCCGCCCTTTGATCTAACAACGAATGAAAAACTCATCACAATTGAGATCGGGGCGAGTGGGTGCGGCTTAATCTTTGTTTTTATTTCTATGAAAAACTGAAAAACCTAAAAATTGAAAATTAGAAATTAAAAACTCGTGAAACTTCAAATCGAAAGGCTGCAAAATCTAAAAATCAAATGAGTTACACATAGGAAGATTGAAGAAAGTAAAAAGAAAACTTGAAAAATTGCAAACAGAAAAACTGAAAAAGTTGAACGGAACATTGAAAAATTGTAAAAGTAAAGAAAATAAAAAACCGAAACGAAAAATTGCACATGGAAAAATTAAAAATTGAAAACTTGAGAAAGTCAAATTGAAAAATTGCAAAATCTAAAAATTGAATTGAAAAAATTTTAACTTGAAAGCTAGAAAAAATGCAAATCGAAAAAATGAAGGAACAAAAAAAATAAAAATATTTTATCACGTTTGCTTCACTTTTTGATTTTTTTAGTGGCCTTTTTCTTATTTCTTTGGCCCCTTTTTGTTTTTCATTTTCTCTTGTTAATTTTTGTGATATTTTTAAAGCCTTTTTTGTCCTTTTCGCTTTATTTTGTTTAATGTTTTCTCGTTTTTTATTTCAGTTCTTCAGCATTTTTTGTCGGTTTTTACCCTATTTTTCGTCTTTTTTTCGCCTTTTTCGCTTTATTTTGTCACCGAAAGTTCACGAAAATCTGTCTCTTATGACCAAAATCACTGGGTTTTACCGATTTAGTTGTGGTTAGTTTGAATCTTCATATAGAGGTTTCAATTAGTTTCACGACCGGTCCGGTGCAATGTTGCTTGATCTTCAAGATAATTTTTGTATAAAAAGTGAGCTTAAACTTTACAGAAAAATGCATTTAGTATATTTGTGGTTGATTAGTGTATTCATATTTTTTAACGCATTTTTTCGCTTTTTTATTCCTTTTTTTGGTAAATTTTTTTTCTCAATATGTTGTCGGAAAGTCAAATATGTTTTCAGTTTCTTGTTAGGAAAAGAAGACTTTGTTTATTAAGAAAAAATGGACAAAATATTAGCCCCGCCCACCCACCCCTTCTCAGTTGTGATGAATGTTTTATTAATCATGAGTTGAAGGGTGGAATTTAGTTTGCAAAATGGATATTTCTCTGCAAGAATATGAAATATATTTTTAAAATGGTAGAATTTTTTTGAGAAATATTGATCGGGACGGGTGGGTGGTGCTTAATCTTTGATTTTTTTTTCAATGAAAAACTCGTGAAACTTCAAATCGAAAAACTGCAAAATCTAAAAATTTAATGTTACACGTAGGAAAATTGACGAAAGAAAAATTGCAAACAGAAAAGCTGAAAAAATTGAACGGAACATGGAAAAATTGTAAAATAAAGAAAATCAAAAACTGAAACGAAAAATTGCACATGGAAAAATTAAAAATTGAAAAATTTTGACTTGAAAACTAGAAAAATTGCAGATCGAAAAAATGAAGGAACAAAAAAAATTAAAATATTATTTTATCACAATTGCTCCACTTTTTGATTTTTTAGCGGTTTTTTTCTTATTTCTTTGGCCCATCTTTTTTCATTTTCTTCTGTTAATTTTGTGTGATACTTTTAAAGCCTTTTTTCGTCCTTTTCGCTTTATTTTGTCTGTTTTTACTTCCCGAGCGTAAGCAAAGGAAGTATTGTAATCGAGTCCGTCGGCCGACTCTCTACTTTTACGTTTTCTCGATCTTTCATGACCCCTAGAAGACGAAGAAATAGGTCTCCCATTTCCGTCTGTCTGTCCGTTTGTCCGTCTGTCCGTCCGTCTGTCCGTCTGCCGTCCCGGATTTTTATTAGACAGATAATCTCCGAAAGTACTCGACCGATTGTTGTGAAATTTTGTACTTATATTAAGAATATCATGTAGATGGTAAAACGCTAACCAAAATTTGTCTAATCATCCCCACCACTAATGCGATGACGTCACTTCAAAATTGTACATAGTAAATGGGTTTTCAATTGTATAAAATAACATAGTCCTACACATGTAGTTTACAACTCTGAATCGACTTTTCACCCGAAACGTCCAGATTTTTGGAAAAAAAATCAAAATTATAAAACAACATTTTGAAATTTAATTTTTAATCTGCTAACCAGAATGCTTTGAAATGTTGCAGATGTTTTAAGGCTATAAAGAGCATCATAAATCTTTAGTCAAAAAATATTTGCTTATCCCCTCCAAAAACTTGATGACGTCAGCTCAAAAGTTTGTGGAATAAATCATGTCTAAAATGTACAAAATATGATGAGTCTGTACTTGTGATCTATCACTCCATTCATATTTTTTGGATTTGCATATACAGGGTGACTCAAAAAAATTAATGAATGCGTAAATATATTTTATTGATTTAATCAGGAACTACAAAACCGAATGCTCTGAAATCTTGCAGATGTTTTAAGGTCATAAAGAGCATAATAAATGTTTAGTCAAAATATATTTGCTTATCCCCTCCAAAAACTTGATGACGTCAGCTCGAAAGTTTGCCGAATAAATCATATCTAAAATGTACAAAATATGATCAGTCTATACTTGTGATCTATCACTCCATTCATATTTTTTGGATTTGCATATACAGGGTGATTCAAGAAAATAAATGAAAGCGTAAATTTATTTTACTGATTTACTCAGGAACTACAAAACCGAATGCTTCGAAATCTTGAAGATATTTTAAAATTATCATAAGCATGGTAAATTTTTGATCAAAACGTATTTGGTCGTCCCCCCTAAAAAATTTATGATGTCACCACAAAATTTTGCTGAAAAATTCCTATCTAAAATGTACAAAATATGGTGAGTCTCTTCTTGTGATTTATCATTCCATTCAAATTTTTTCGATTTGCATATACAGGGTGACTCAAAAAAATTAATGAATGCGTAAATTTATTTTATTGATTTAATCAGGAACTACAAAACCGAATGCTTTGAAATCTTGCAGATGTTTTAAGGTTATAAAGAGCATAATAAATTTTTAGTCAAAATATATTTGGTTATCTTCTACAAAAAACTGATGACGTCAGCTCAAAAGTTTGCCGAATAAATCGTATCCAAAATGTACAAAATATGATGAGTCTGTACTTGTGATTTATCATTCCAATCATATTTTTGGATTTGCATATGCAGGGTGACTCAAAAAAATTAATGAAGGCGTGAATTTATTTTATCGATTTAATCAGGAATTAGAAAACCGAATGCTTTGAAATCTTGGGAATATTTTAAAGTTATTATAAGCATGGTAAACTTTTGTTCAAAATGTATTTGTTCATCCCTCCTAAAAAAATTGATGACGTCACCCTTAAATTTTGCTGAATAAATCCTATCTAAAATGCAAAAAATATGATGAGTTTGTACTTGTGATTTATCATTCCATTCATATTTTTTAGATTTTCTTAAGAGGTGATTCAAAAAAATTAATAAAGTTAATTTATTTTATTGATTAAATTAAAGGCAACACTTATTATTAGTATTACACCCCAACCAACCCAATTTGGTAGACACAAAATTTGTTAAAGGAAAAACTCGGTTGAAACATAAGGGTAGCACGCTTATTTACATCGACTTTAACATTACAGACCTGCATTTGTTTTATGCATTCACTTAGTTCCGCGAATGTGAAATAGACATGTTTATAATCAACCAATTGTGAATTTCACCGTCAAGAATTAAAATAAAACCCAATGTTTTATATAATAAGCGGAAGTCGAAGCAATAAAACCGATGGTCGTTTTGTTTACAGTTTCTCTGTTTGACTCTCACGTATGCTGTTACGCCTGTCATCTTAAATTAAGAATGTTTATACATACACGATTTTCAGTTGCCTCTGATACGTATACGTGAGTAAATTGTTTCGTTATTTTATTGATTATTACAAATCAATATTCAAAACGACCCAATTCATTTTCCCGAAAATTTGAGAATATAATAATTTTATTCTTAGTATTACACTACATCTATCCCAACTGATATACGTGTCCTTGCAAAAATGTTGATGACGTCATCGCAATTTTTTTTAAATTCCCACTACAAAAATGTAATGAGAAAAAAAACACAATAGGCATGCAGTCGTCAAGTTTCCGACAGCGAGGGAAGTACTGTCTAAACTCTTTAGACCAATTTTTTATTTCAGTTCTTCAGCAGTTTTTGTCGTTTTTAAACCCTCGAAGGTTCGAGTTTGCTTTAAGTTGACGCTTTTTCTTTTTCAGGAGACTACCGCGACCTGAAGCTGCCGGCCGCCGCCTTCCAGCAAGTCTCCGACCTGCTGCGTCGCAGCCCGGAGTTCACCATTTCGGCGTGGCTCCGCCAAGAAGTGGGCAACACGGGGAGCATAGTGAGTTTCGCACACGGCCTCAACAGATACCTCGAACTGCAGTCCAGCGGCCGGAAGAATGAGATCCGGCTGCACTACACGTCGCGGGTGGACTCGAAAGTGTACGTGGAAACGTTCCATTACAGACTCGCGGACAATTTGTGGCATCATGTGGCTGTGTCGGTGAGCGGTTCGCAAGCGGAACTCTTAGTGGACTGTCATCCGCTGTACAAAAGACTCTTGAGACCCGGCGCGCCCGACCGGAACTTCACCGAACCGCAACAGCTTTGGCTCGGCCAGAGGAACAAGCACTACCACTTTAAGGTGAGGGCGATATCGATTCGAAGATGGTATCATAGCTGCCGCATGCGAGGAGTGCATCTATGCTGCACTCGCTGAAAAATACAACTGGGATAAAAGGATAACTAGGCGTTGACCGAGTTATGCAATCACACGAGGACGGCGAAACACACGAAATCTTATCAAGACTTAAATGACAACCAGTGTGGGATAAGTGAAAATTGTCCGAGAATTTATCCCACTATCCCAAACAAATACCTTTGTGTTTTCAGTAGGGAAATGAGGGGCTTGTTGTAACAGTTTTTAGGAAAAGGAATATAATTTGTTATCTATTAGCTGTTTGACCATTATAAAAGTATCTGTCGGTAGTCTAACTATTCCCCTACTGGACTGAACAGGCAAAAGGTCAAAATTGTTCATATTCACTTCATACCAGGCATTTTCTTAAAAAAAGTGCACTGTTACAACTTGCCCCGTGTTTGGGGCTAGTTGTAACAGTGTAAACTTTATTTTTCAAAAATCAACACAACAACAACAATAAACTTTTAGAAAAAGAGTCAACATTAAAGATTTGAGTTTTGTTTTCCTTTTTCTTAATATATCTGGAAAGCGATATATGGCATAGGTCAAAATTTTCGCTCGATTTCGTATGCTAGGTACGAGATTTGTAGACGTGAATTTGGGATAAGTCATAACATGTTACAACTTGCCCCTCAGATATTGTTACAACATGCCCCGTAGCACAATTTTCTACATTTAATTGCATTTCGACAAAATTATGTCGCTTAGTGTCAAAATGTGTAAAGAATATCAAAGCTGAGTAATTTTTGAACTACATGCAAAACTAAAAGTTTAAAATTAATTAATAACAGATAAGAAAAACCAAATTTTACTAAAGCAATATTTTACATTACTTTGCCAAAACGAAACACGTACACACATCCACTCACTGCGCTGGCTGGAGGAACAGTGGTTATGATGACATGATGTCTTATGGTGCAGTAAAAAACCTGACGTTAAAGAGTTTAAATTCCGGGTAAAAATTTAGTGTTACAACTTACCCCTGTTACAACAAGCCCCTATTTTCCTTACAGGCAGAAGATGGAAGTCGCAATTGACCTTGAACGGTTTATGGTCCCAGCCCCGTAGCTAGAAAACTTATTCAGGGGGGGCAAGTTTGTCGACAGAGGGGGCTTCATGTAAATATTTATATTTTAATAATACACTCAGATAACTACTTTATTTTTTCTGAGTTTTTATATTTGAAAGAACATTAAAATAATTGGAAACGTCGATTTTTTACGCTAAATTTTCGTAAAAACCTGTCGAAGTCCAAAAAATTAGTACGGTACTTGGTTAAAATGCTGGTTAAAACAGAGAATGTAGATTCACAAACAGCTGTACTGCATCCAAAAATTTGTGTAGTGGCCATATAGGTAACATCCAATTTGTTTGAGTTTATTTTTTTGCATGTTTAGTACATATTTTAAAAATCCGACTTCGAAACCAAATATTTCGAAAATTTTGGTACGGAACCATGAACTCGTCATGTTTTTTTAAACTCGTCGAGATGTGTATTTCAGAATTTTTTGTCAACTTTAACAAAAGCTCAATTTTTGGAAACCCATATAAAATTTTTGACTTTTCCCAAGCATTTTCGAAAATTACCAAAAGAATTCCTTTGTTCATCTCGATTTCTTCCAAAAATCGTTTTGGATTCAATTTTTTTGAAAATTCTTACATTTTTTGCAGAATCGACGGAAGAAAAATGGCAATTTTTGAGAACCTGTATAAAATTTTTGACTTTTTTCAAGCACATTCGAAATTACCAAAAGGGATTCCTTTATTGATTTCGATCTCCAGATGTTGTTTTTGGTTGTTTTTTCGAAAATTCGTACAATTTTTCCATAATCGCCAAAAGAAATATGGTAATTTTTGAGAAATTTTGAAAATCCCAGCTCGAAACCGAGTATTTCGAAAATTTTGATCCGGAACCTTGAACCTGTCATGTTTTTTTTAGCTCGTCGAAATCTATATTTCAGAATTTTTTGTCAACTTTTACGAAAGTTCAATTTTTGAAAACCCATATAAAATTTTTGGCTTTTCCCAAGCATTTTCGAAAATTACCAAAAGAGATTCCTTTGTTCATCTCGATTTCCAGAAATCGTTTTGGATTCAATTTTTTTGAAAATTCTAACTTTTTTCCAGAATCGACGGGAGAAATATGGCAATTTGTGAAAACCTGTGTCAAATTTTTGACTTTTTTTCAAGCACGTTCGAGATTACCAAAAGGGATTCCTTTATTGATTTCGATCTCCAGATGTTGTTTTTGGTTATTTTTTCGAAAATTCGTACAATTTTTCCACAATCGCCAAAAGAAATATGGTAATTTTTGAGAAATTTTGAAAATTCGAGGTCGAAACCGAGAATTTCGAAAATTTTGATCTGGAACCATGAACCTGTCATGTTTTTTTAAGCTCGTCCAAATCTATATTTCAGAATTTTTTGTCAACTTTTACGAAAGTTCAATTTTTGAAAACCCATATAAAATTTTTGACTTTCCCCAAGCATTTTTAAAAATGATCAAAAGAGACTCCTTTGTTCATCTCGATTTCCAAAAATCGTTTTGGATTCAATTTTTTTGAAAATTCTTACAATTTTTCCAGAATCGACGGAAGAAATATGGCAATTTTTGAAAACCTGTATCAAATTTTTGACTTTTTTCAAGCACGTTCGAGATTACCAAAAGGGATTCCTTTATTGATTTCGATCTCCAGATGTTGTTTTTGGTTTTATTTGGTTGAAAAGTCGTAAAATTTTTCAGCAATCGCCAAACGAAATGTAATTTTTAACTTTGAAACCGAATGTTTCGAAAATCTTGATCTGGGACCATCTAGACCTTGTGTTTTTTGATTGAGCTCGTCGAGATCAACATTTCAGATTTTTTTGTGGATTTTTAGTCAACTTCAACAAAAGTTAAATTTTTGAAAATCTATAAAATGTTTATGACTTTTCCCAACCGTTTTCGAAAATTAGCAAAAGGGATCTCTTTATCGATTTCGATCTCCAAATGTTGTTTTTGGTTTTATTTTCTCGAAAATTTGTACAATTTTTCCAAAGCCGCCAAAAAAAATGTAATTTTTGAGAAATTTTGAAATGTCGACTTTGAAACCGAATTTTTCGAAAATCTTGGTCTGGGACCATCAAGACCTTATGTTTTTGGATTAAGCTCATCGAGATCTACATCTCGGAATTTTTTGTTGATTTTTTGTTAATTTCAACAAAAGCTCAATTTTTGAAAATCCATATACATTTTTTGACTTTTCCCAAGCATCTTCGAAAATTAGCAAAAGGGATCTCTTTATTGATTTCGATCTACAGATGTTATTTTTGGTTTTATTTTTTTGATATTTCGTCGAATTTTTCCACAATCGCATAAAGAAATAACTTTTTTTTAAGTCACTTTTGAGATTTTTTAGAAATTTTAGGTAGAACCCAATATTTCGTAAATTTTGCTCCGGGAGCATGAACATGTTTTTCGATTAAGCTCATCGAGATCTATATTTCAGAATTTTTTGTCAACTCTAACAAAAGCTCAATTTTTGAAAACTAAATAAATTTTCACTTTTCTTAGCATTTCCAAAAATTACCGAAAGTCATTCTTTTATTTATTTCAATCTTCAGATGTTGTTTTTGGTTTTATTTGATCGAAAATTTGTAAAATTTTTCTAGAATCGTCAAAAGAAATAGGAGTATAATTTTTGAGAAATTTTAAAAATTCGACTTGGAAACCGAATAGCAGCAAGACCTTATGTTTTTTGACTAAACTCGTCGAATTTTTTGTAGATTTTCAGCCAATTTCAACAAAAGCTCAATTTTTGAAAATCTATAAAAAAAATTTGACTTTTCCCACGCATTTTCGAAAACTAGCAGAAGGGATCTTTTTATTGATTTCGATCTCCAAATGTTTTTTTTTTTTCGAAAATTCGTCAATTTTTCCAGAGCCGCTAAAAGAAATGTAATTTTTCAGAAATTTTGAAGTGTCGCCTTGGAACCGAATTTTTGAAAAATCTTGGTCTGGGACCATCAAGACCTTATGTTTTTTGATTAAGCTGATCGAGATCTACATCTCAGAATTTTTTGTCTATTTTTTGTCCATTTCAATAAAAGCTCAATTTTTAGAAAATCCATATAATATTTTTGACCTTTCTCAAGTACCTACATAGTAGGCTATGGAATAAAATGTGACATGTTCATTTTTTTATACGGTCAACATCAACGGTAAGGTGATATTGCCAAATAATATACCCTGTACGAAAATAAAGGTGGGGCGGGTGGGGCCAGTTAATATGCTTCAGCAATCGGCATTATATTGAAATTATATTACTAATTTGAAATTTATAATGTATAAGTCTTCCAGGGGGGGCAACCACAACTGCTAGGGGGGGCTCAGCCCCCTCTTGCCCCCCCGTAGTTACGGGGCTGTATGAAATTTTAAAACGGGACTCCCGTTTTGCATATTTGTAGTATTTGTCAGTCGTATTTTAAGTGGTATCGACCCAAGGTCGCATAAATACCGAACTTGTGTGACTAGAGGTACTCTATCTTGATTTTATTCAAATTATACGGTCAAATATGAAAGGGCGTTGGAGGTTCAAAGTCAACCCCTCTACCAAATCATCAACGCTGATGCACCATGATCACGTCCTTCGTAAAAAACATCCCCCCCTCGAAGTAATAGGTGTCGGGTTTTAGAAGAAATTGTGTAACCACCCGCAGAGATAAAGCGCCTGATACGGTTTTACTGTCATGTTTCATGACCGACATCTCCTATGACGTGAAAGGTCGTTATTCCGGGAACCGTTTTATGCTCTGAAAACGTATTTTTCATAGATTCACGTGACCGATAAATGTGATTTAATGAACATGAAAATGCATTCAATGAAATAATTTTACTATTCACACACGGGAACAACCTTTGATCGAAAGTTCAAAAAGTGACCTTGAGAGATGCACCATTACTACTCTTTAGCATTAGGCGAGATATAGTCACAGTAACGCGTGCGAGCTCTTCCAATAATAAGGTTGCGCCATAAAAGTCGATTCAATTCCGTGTGTACATGTCTCGGCCTCATATCGCCATCAAAGTCACCCCTACATACATTCAAGCGGTTGATGGAAGTCCATTGATTGAAAAAAGCTGAAAATGATGCTCATTCCGTGCCTTCGCGATGTATCGATCCCTTCTTTATCATGTTCTTCGCGACTTTGCCAAGTCGTTTAAGCCCAAGTCGTTTAGTATTAGCTTCAAATGCCAGCGCAATTTCCCCATCAGCCCTTCATTAACTTAATGGTTTAACACCGACAGTGGCGGCTCGTGACCCGAGCCACTCCACAGTAAGTAAACCCATACATATTGTTGCTCTAAGGGACCAGGCGCCCCGATGCAAACTTACTTGTTCAACGCCCTTAAAAAAAAATTGTAAAAAAAAAACAAATAAAATTTTGTAATCACATATTTTTGTAGAGAGATACTTTTTATTAACAAACATGCATAAAATTATGATGGATCAATCTTAATATATAAAAATGTTTGTCTTAACTGACAGACTGACTGATTCATCAACGCAAAGCCTAAACTACTGAAGCTACAAACATGAAATTTGGACAGTAGGTTACTTTTGTGTCATAAGCACCCATTAAGAAAAGATTTCTGGAAATTCCGCCCCTACGGGGACAAAATAGGGGATGAAGCTTTGTGCAGAAATGCCGTAAGTTTTTAAATCAGACGGGTTCACTGGGGAGGGAGGAGTGAACGAGATGAAAAATGAAAATTTAGGAGGCTTACACGGTCGGAATCAATACATGATCGTTTTCCGGGTTGGAACCGTGTAATTTCTCAAAAGAGTTTCGCCTCTGATATGGTTGACATACTGAGTTACCGGGCTCTTTTGCCTTATTCTTAACCCTGCTCCTGAAGATGCCACTTAGAAAGTAACAAACGGAGCTGCGGGTAACAACTTTTCTATAGTTTAGGGAATATCGTTGTACCCTATAAAATTTTCTTGCCAATAACGAGACGGACAGTAGTACAATAGCAATAGATATTTACAACTTAAAGTTGTCGCATGGCGGTAATCCGCAGACCTTAAATTTCTAAAGTAGCGGAAGTCCGATCCTATACGTACAATTACCTGCTAAATGTTCTCCTACAAATTCGGGGGGACTGGTGTGAGCCATAAATATTTCTTACCACTGTACCACTGTCCGCCTCGTTATTGTCAATAAAATTTTATAGGGTACACCGATATTTCGTAAACTATATATAGTATAAATATAAAAATATTTATATTGCAAACGTTTTTCAATTTTTAATATTGTAAAATTGATACGATTTCAAAGTTATTTTTAATTTAGACTTACCTCAATGTTAATCGAAATTTAAATTTAAAATTAATGATGAGAAAAAGCCACGAAATGATACACAGAACCAAATTCGGCTACAAACAGGAACAGTGAAAAATATAACAAAACTGTTGAACAACCACCACAACCAAAACCAACCGACTAGACTTGGAAAATAAAATTTTTAAGTATTCCGACATGGACTTTTGTAAAAACAAACGTGACAAATGTTAGGAAAAACATCTGGGTGTGGTCATACCGCTGTCTGGTCAAATTGTTACCCAGATAATGCATCATAAATTTGGTTATTTTTTGTCGGTATTGATGTAAAGGTCCCATCACCCAACCCAAAGGCGCACTTTTTTTCAATTATTACAGTTTGAAAGTGCCAGGAATTGACTTCTTGGGATCTGTTTTGGTGGTCATAGTGGAATGTTAAAATGTAGCTTCGTCACGGGCGCCCCGATGCGGTGCATCTTTCGCTTACCGTGTTAAGCCGGCCCTGTTCGGCGCTCGATACTTTGCTACGTCTTTTATCCCGGAATTTGGACAAACGTTCGCTTAAAAGACCTGGGTGGTGCGCGTACATTTCGGGAATCGATAGGATCCCCGGTTTGATGGGCGGTTTGGGTTGCAGGGCGCCATGCAGGACGTGCGGCTGATCGGAGGTCCCCACGGCTACCTGTCCCTCTGCCCCAGCCTGGACTCCACGTGCCCCACCTGCGGCCAGTTCTCCTTGCTGCAGAGCACCGTGCAGGAGCTGACTCGGCATCTTCAGGAACTTTCCGAAAGGGTATATGGACTACCATGTAACGTCATTTATGCGTTCTGTACACTGTTTTGATTATATATAATTCTGTGTTTTGCAGTTGGTAGCAGCAGAGGGACGTATCAGTAAAGTGGAGGAATGTGACTGTCAGAAATCGTGCCACGTCAACGGGACGGTGCATGCGGACGGCGCCACGTGGCAACGCGGCTGTGATTTGTGCGCATGCGTGGTTAGTACTCATTTAACCGAACCGGTGTAACCGTAACCGCGAATGACAGTCGATTCCTTTCTCATTTTCAAGTTTCTCTCTGTTGCCGCTCAATTTTCATTTCTGTCTTGATTCGCAGCATGGAGAGGTTCAGTGCCGTCCCGTCGAGTGCCCGGAACTGCCCTGCAAGCACCCGGTCAACATAACGGGCGAATGCTGCCAGAGCTGCCTCAGTAAGTGGCCCGAGCCAGGAACTTTCGACGAAAAGAACGCAGCTAGCTTGACATTGTTCGCGTTTTATGGCTCTTTTCGTCCAATTTTACTGGCCTCTTGTAGCACGTGACGAGCCACAATTGGTTTCGACGGTCCATTCATTTTCAGGACATTGTCTGTTTTACGGCGCTTTTTACGACCACGGGGAGCTGGTCACCATTAAAAAGTGCGTGGAGTGCGAATGCCACGACGGCAGCATGCAGTGCACCAGGATAGACCCGGAGACGATGTGTCCCAAGCTCACGTGCCCCCCGGACGAGCAGTTCAGCGTCGCCGACAACTGCTGCAAGTTCTGTCCAGGTACTACCATCACACCGATCGCGTTCATCTCGCATTACTACCATCTAATAGTCGCATTTGGGAGCTTTTCGCATCTGTAAATAAACATATTTAGAGTAGAAACTGATGCGACATGCCCTCAGAGGAAGCACTAGCGTCTTCGCTTTACTAACAACTAACCGTGGTGCGTGTTATTCATCCCTAACAGGTGTTGACTATTGTGCAAAAGGGCATGTTTGTCATGCTAACGCAACTTGCCTCAACTTACAAACGACTTATGCTTGTCAGTGCGACCAAGGCTTTCAAGGGGACGGACGATTGTGTACCGGTACGCAACATTTTTTTCTAACCTTCGGCTGCTCTTGCCGCGGTGGACGTACAAAAGGCAAAGTCGCCGAAGAGCTTCCTTCAACTGAATCGATTATCTTTGCTTTGATTGTGTATGATGCGTTATGACACTGTCGCATTGTTCGACTTCCGCTTTCTGACGTCCCGTTTCCTTCTGTACGCCACCGCTGCGAACCGATGTACATACAACTAACGCTCAGTCGACGAAAAATACCCCTCGTAACGGAGTTTTTTCTGTAGATATCAACGAATGCCAGCAGGAGGGCGGCCTCGAAGGCCACCACTGCCACCAGAACACCCGCTGCGTCAACACCCCCGGATCCTACACCTGCGAATGCCTCGCCGGTTATCGCAGAGTGGACAAGTTCAACTGCGCCGAGCTGGACGAGTGCAGCACCGGCGAGCACAACTGCGACATCAACGCCGACTGCATCAACACCCAAGGAAGCTACCACTGCGTGTGCAAGGACGGCTACACCGGGGACGGCTACAGCTGCCAACGTGAGTCTTTAGAGTCGCGTCGCACCCCCGAATCACAGTGTTTGTTGCAGCCGTGTGTAACCAGAGCTGCCTCAACGGAGGCATCTGCAGGAGTCCGGGGAAGTGCGCTTGTCCCAACGGATACACGGGCCCCAGCTGCGAGAGAGACCTCGACGAGTGTGCCACGAACGCCCACAGGTGTACCGACGCTTCGGTCTGTGTGAACATGATCGGCTGGTACTACTGTAAATGCAAAGAGGGCTATCAGAGCCCCGTCTCAGACAATAATTTAGGAACTCTATGCCAAGGTACTAGCATTGTTTAAGTATATTATAGTTGGACAACCTATACGGAGAATCACTTTCCCATGTAGAAAAGAATGAACATATAGTTTTCATCTCACTCGCTTCACTGTGAAGTGGCGGTACCTTACGAAAGGAGGTAAAAATAGTCTGCAAGCACGTGATGTCGATAAGGTAGTAAACGGACGTATTAGTCAGTACGTTGTACGGGGAGCAGTCACAAAATAAGCGAACGTACGTGTTGAAGACTTTGCATATATGTAATATATTTATATGTAGTGCATACCTGTTTCCTGTATGTGGTAGCACGTATATTTGCACAAAAGCAAATAAAGGTTAAGGTAAGAAAAATTTAATATTATCGCAGTATATTGCGTCCCTTCGTCCACCACTTTAAAGGCACAAAATTAAACGACCACTACTTTAATTAATAAGTAAGAAGTCATCTAGTTTGCCTCCAGAATAACTATGGGTTATCATCAAACTATGAACACCAAATTAATTCAGTATGAACATCTTACGTATTTTTTTTATTAACAGTAGTCAAATCACTAAATACATATTATCTTTGAAACTAAAATGCATTTTATCACAAAATATTTACCACCATTTAAATATATACTATTTAGACATCAAGAAATAAATTTAAAATTGCAAAAATTAAATGTAGCAGACTTTAAACAGCCTTAAATGCGTCTTGTATGTACGTGCTTATCACTATGTAGGCATTTGAACGCACAGCAATAATCGTTCTTGATGAGTGATGACTACTGTAACACAGTAAATTCTCGAAATCGAAAATTTAAAACATTGAAAAATTCAAATGTGGGAAAATTGTAAAATCGAGAAATCGAAACATAAAAAAATTGGTCTAAAGAGTTTAGACAGTACTTCCCTCGCTGTCGGAAACTTGACGACTGCATGCCTATTGTGTTTTTTTTCTCATTACATTTTTGTAGTGGGAATTTCAAAAAAAATTGCGATGACGTCATCAACATTTTTGCAAGGACACGTATATCAGTTGGGATAGATGTAGTGTAATACTAAGAATAAAATTATTATATTCTCAAATTTTCGGGAAAATGAATTGGGTCGTTTGAATATTGATTTGTAATAATCAATAAAATAACGAAACAATTTACTCACGTATACGTATCAGAGGCAACTGAAAATCGTGTATGTATAAACATTCTCAATTTAAGATGACAGGCGTAACAGCATACGTGAGAGTCAAACAGAGAAACTGTAAACAAAACGACCATCGGTTTTATTGCTTCGACTTCCGCTTATTATATAAAACATTGGGTTTTATTTTAATTCTTGACGGTGAAATTCACAATTGGTTGATTATAAACATGTCTATTTCACATTCGCGGAATCAAGTGAACGCATAAAACAAATGCAGGTCTGTAATGTTAAAGTCGATGTAAATAAGCGTGCTACCCTTATGTTTCAACCGAGTTTTTCCTTTAACAAATTTTGTGTCTACCAAATTGGGTTGGTTGGGGTGTAATACTAATAATAAGTGTTGCCTTTAATTTAATCAATAAAATAAATTGACTTCATTAATTTTTTTGAACCACCTCTTAAGAAAATCTAAAAAATATGAATGGAATGATAAATCACAAGTACAAACTCATCATATTTTTTGCATTTTAGATAGGATTTATTCAGCAAAATTTAAGGGAGACGTCATCAATTTTTTTAGGAGGGATGAACAAATACATTTTGAACAAAAGTTTACCATGCTTATAATAACTTTAAAATATTCCCAAGATTTCAAAGCATTCGGTTTTGTAATTCCTGATTAAATCGATAAAATAAATTCACGCCTTCATTAATTTTTTTGAGTCACCCTGCATATGCAAATCCAAAAATATGAATGGAATGATAAATCACAAGTACAGACTCATCATATTTTGTACATTTTAGATACGATTTATTCGGAAAACTTTTGAGCTGACGTCATCAGTTTTTTGTAGAAGATAACCAAATATATTTTGACTAAAAATTTATTATGCTCTTTATAACCTTAAAACATCTGCAAGATTTCAAAGCATTCGGTTTTGTAGTTCCTGATTAAATCAATAAAATAAATTTACGCATTCATTAATTTTTTTGAGTCACTCTGTATATGCAAATCCAAAAAATATGAATGGAGTGATAAATGACAAGTACAGGCTCATCATATTTTGTACATTTTAGATATGATTTATTCGGCAAACTTTCGAGCTGACGTCATCAAGTTTTTGGAGGGGATAAGCAAATATATTTTGACTAAACATTTATTATGCTCTTTATGACCTTAAAACATCTGCAAGATTTCAGAGCATTCGGTTTTGTAGTTCCTGATTAAATCAATAAAATATATTTACGCATTCATTAATTTTTTTGAGTCACCCTGTATATGCAAATCCAAAAAATATTAATGGAGTGATAGTTCACAAGTACAGACTCATCATATTTTGTACATTTTAGATATGATTTATTCCACAAACTTTTGAGCTGACGTCATCAAGTTTTTGGAGGGGATAAGCAAATATTTTTTGACTAAAGATTTATGATGCTCTTTATAGCCTTAAAACATCTGCAACATTTCAAAGCATTCTGGTTAGCAGATTAAAAATTAAATTTCAAAATGTTGTTTTATAATTTTGATTTTTTTTTCCAAAAATCTGGACGTTTCGGGTGAAAAGTCGATTCAGAGTTGTAAACGACATGTGTAGGACTATGTTATTTTATACAATTGAAAACCCATTTACTATGTACAATTTTGAAGTGACGTCATCGCATTAGTGGTGGGGATGATTAGACAAATTTTGGTTAGCGTTTTACCATCTACATGATATTCTTAATATAAGTACAAAATTTCACAACAATCGGTCGAGTACTTTCGGAGATTATCTGTCTAATAAAAATCCGGGACAACAGACGGACAGACGGACAGACGGACAGACAGACGGAAATGGGGACCTATTTCTTCGTCTTCTAGGGGTCATGAAAGATCGAGAAAACGTAAAAGTAGAGAGTCGGCCGACGGACTCGATTACAATACTTCCTTTGCTTACGCTCGGGAAGTAAAAATCAAAAAAATAAAAATTGGAAAGTCTAAAATTTAAAAATCGAGAAATTGAACAATCGGTTAATTCAAAAATCGAAACATCGAACAATTGGAAAATCGAAAAATAAAAAAAAATTGAAAAATCGAAAAAAACTAATAATTTAAAAATTGAAAAGTTAATATTGAGAAATCGAAAAACTGAAAAATCACAAAATTGAACGAAATATCCAAAAATTAGGAAATTAAAAAATTGAGAAACAGAAAAGTCAAAAAAGCAGAGTCGAAAAATCGCAAACTTAAAAAATCGAAAAATTGAAAAATCAAAAACCTGAATAATCGAAAAATTGAAGAACTGAAGAACTGAAAAATCGAGAAACCGAAAAATCTAGAAATTTAAAAATTAAAATATGGAAAACTTGAAAAATTGAGAAATTGAAATATAAAACAATCGAAAAATTGAAAAATTTAATGTATAAAAAACAAAAAACTGAAAATCCAAAAATAAAAAATCGAAAAATCTAGAGGTCGAAAAATCAAAGAATCGAAGTATTGAAAAATATCAAAACTGAAAGAAATATCCAAAAATTGAGAAATCGAAAAACCAATAAAGCGAAGTCGAAAAATTGAAGAATTGTAGAACTGAAAAATCGAAACTTTGAGAAGTGGGAAAATCAAAAATAGATTAACTGAGAAATCAGAAAACTGAAAGTTTAACGTCAAAATTTTTTCATTGAAAAATTTAAATACTGAAGAACTGAGAAGTTAAAAAATCGAGAAATCGAAAAATCTAAGATTCAAAACATTGAACAATTAAAATATCGCAAAATTTAAGAATCGAGAAATCCAATTCAATTTAAAAAATTGAAAAATTGAAAAATCGGAACATTAAAAAATTGGAAACTCCAGAAATTGAGAAGCTCAAAAGAAAAAATCGAGAAACCGGGAAATCCAAAAATCGAAACATCGAAAAATTCAAAAACTGAGACATCGAGAAATCGAAAAATCGAAGGATCGAGAAATTGAGGAGTCGTAAGTCGAAAAGGAAAGTTAAAAATTGAAAAATTGATAAATTGAGAAACTGAACAATCAAAACAACGAAACATCTGAATTCGATAAATTGAGAAATTAAAAAATTGAATAATCGAAAAATTTTAAAAAAAGAAAAACCGGAAAATCGAAAATTAATATTAAAAAATTTGAAAAATTGAAAAATTTAAATATAGAAGTATTAAAAACTCGAGATATCGAAAAACCTAGAATTTTAAAAAATGAAATATTGAAACATCGAAAAAAAGGTATAAAACAGAAAACAGTCGAAGAATTGAAAAATCTAAAGTTTAACAATAAATTGAAAATCCAAAAAGTAAAAATCGAGAAATGGAAAATTTGAAGAATGGAAGAATTGGAAAAGCCCAAAATTGAAATATTGAAAAATTGAGACATTTAAAGTTGAAAAATCCAGAAATCGAAAAGCCGGAAAGTCTCAATAGCGTATTTATAAATCACAAGATCAGGACTATGCTATTTTTTTAAATTTAAATAACATTATAAATTGGAAAATGTTCATTTTTTTTCCAAAAATCTTGACGTCCAAGGTGAAAACTCAACACGGATGCATAAACCGTAAACGGAGGATATAGTATTGTAAAATTTGGAGATTGCGTCATTTCATTGTTGGTGACAAATTTTGGTGAGTGTTTTACCATTTGATAATACAATTTGAAATGTAAATTTTGTCATTCGGAAACATTATGTATTAAATCGTTAAGATGTTCAAGAACTTTGTTCACTTATTCGTTGTAAAGTCCAATGGTCGAAACGGGTTAGTTCTTCGTAGTGGATGTGTATCAGATCAACTCTTACGCATTACGACTTATAAATAAATCGCTTAAAGCCGCTATTGGCCTGAGTGTGGTTTGGTCTGTAGATCAAACAAGTTCTCAGGCGACGAAAAATTGCATGTGGAGGGAGACTTCGGATTACAAATCGTGCCAAGAAAGTAATAAATTTATATCGGTGTAAAATATTTGGGAGATGGATTTTCATTCAGCTGGATTAAAATTATCATAATCACTATTGATATTAATTAACACAAAATGGCGCGCAAGTTATCAGTTGATTTCATTAGTAAATTCATAGAAACCTATATGGGATTTTTTCATGCCTTAGAAAATTAAAAAGTAAAAAATACAATAACAAAAATTTTAAAATGCGATTTACGAAAAATTAGTTGACCTGTGCAAAGAAGAAAATTTTGGAAACGCTGACAAATATTACATCTTAAAAAAATTAAGACTTGAAGAAGTGCTTTCGGCGTAGTATTTTTGATGCTGGCGTGAACAAAATACTCTGTCTGTGTCAGTGTGCAGTGCGCAGAGAGTTAACTGTGCAGATCTAGCCGAAAATCCGAAAACCAGTTCACTGTGTGTAGGGCTAGCATAACGGAAGTAATAAATCATCCCATCGGTTGAAGAACCTTGGGTCGGTGCATTGATGTCGGTGTTATATCCCGAGAGGGGCCCAGTATAGAGTACACCCAATAAAATGGAACAGACAAAATAAAGCTTCAAACATGATTATTTTTATACTAAACTTCTGAAGTTTATAAACTGCACATTTTATTTATTTATCTTGTTTTCGAAATATAGTAAACATTTCAAACAACGTCTGTAACTTATTTTAATGTAAATTATATTCATGTGGTTGACAAAATCAGATGTAATATTAGATTTTATTACAGCAGAATGGCGTATCCTTTTTAAATTTTAAAATTACGGAAACTAGTTCAAGAAACAATTAGTTATCTCGTATTTTTGGAACAAAATCTACCAAAACGTCGGATTTCATCAATTGTTTTTCATAGAAACAAACTGTCTTGAAAGCAGCCTTTAACAACCCGATATTACAAACATGCGTTTTTTTTTCTGTCTTGTAATTATTTGTAATGTCAACGCCGAAAGTTTATGTCATTCTATTATTTACTTTGAATATAATTTTCATTTTGTGTTAATATTTTTGTAACACCACGAATCAAAATTTTACTAAATCTTGTAAAACTAAACAATTATACCAGTTTAAAAATCCTTGGAAAGTTTCTGTCAGTCTTCAGATATAGTCAAATAAAAATAGACGTCAAATTCATTTAAATACAATTCTTTCGTATCACGTTACAACGCGTTGCTTCATATTTTTTATGTCAAGTATATTTTCATATTTTATACATATATGTTTATACACATTACTGTTTGGGAACAATGTTAATTATGGATTTATGGATAACTCCTCGTATAAGAGCAGAGTGAAGGGTGTTTGCCTTTGCTAATGTTTGATGGCGCCATCTGAAGTAGAGTAAAATAAACCTAATACGTTCGCTCACTGTAGTGAAAATGCGCGTTGACGAAAAATTTGTCCCACGCCTCCTGGATTCCTTGTCCTAAAGCTCACTATTTAGGCGAAGTAAAATTTGTATTAGGTTGTCCAACTATAATATACTTAAACAATGGTACTAGTTTAATAATGATTCTACGGGTGTTGTGTATGTTTTTTTTTGGTAGATATTGATGAATGTGCGGACGAGCTCCACACGTGTCATCCCTCTGCTCAATGCGTCAACCTCAAGGGGGGCTTCCGCTGCGAATGTCCCCCCGGGAAAGAAGACTGCCGCCTCAGTTGCATGTTCGAGGGGACGGAAGTGGGGCACGGGCTGTCGCTGTCCCCGCAGAAAGACCCCTGCCAGACTTGCTTGTGCAACCACGGCGTGATGCGCTGTGAGAAGCCCCGTTGCAACTGCTCTCTTCCAGGCAACGGCCAGAACCGGTGTTGTCCGCAGTGCGACAAGAAGCACGCTTGTCGGCACCAGGAGCTGCCCGACGTCATCCTCATGCACGGCGAGCAGTGGTCGTACCAGTGCCAGACGTGCGAGTGTTTGTACGGCGAGGTCGACTGCTGGGAGATGAAGTGTCCGCCTTTGTTGTGCGACAACCCGGTGCAGGCGGCGGGGGATTGCTGCCCCCACTGCGACGACTTGTGTCCTTTGGGTAACGCGTCCTCGTGGGGGCAGCCCTGCACCTTCTCCGGGCGGATGTACGAGTCCGGAGCGCAGTTCGCCGACCCGAACGACCCCTGCGTGGCCTGCAACTGCAAGGTGGGTGCGATGCGGGGGTGCTGACGTGTACTAAACTAATGATTGTCGTGGTCTGAATGTTTCGTACTTACTACTTCAGGTACTGTGACTTTCGATAATTGCTTGGAGCATCCGAGCGCACTAGAGATGCGCTGAGAGATAGTGCCTTTCGTGTAACCCTCTCCTTCATACACTGTATCATTCGTTGTCATCTCATTTGGATTAATGCGTGTCGATGCGAGGGCTTGCTTAGTCCATTGATTAAATACATATAGATAGACCCATGCTATTGTTTGGAGCGAACAGGCCAACGGCCGGCGAACAAGAGATGGCGCACCAACAGTCGGCCGTCAAACGCCGGCGAAAAGCTTGGACACCAATCGCGCGCGTAGATAACCCAAATCGCAGCAACAATACATTTAATAAAGCTACCACTCGACAGAGGGCGACGAAAACAATGTGTAAAAATCTCATAGTAAACATTTATATAATTTGCAACGTTGCCAGATGAGCCTAGCACAACTTTGCCGTTATTTCTAGTCGATTAGATTTTATTTCGTTTAAAAGTTTCTGGTGAATAAATGGAATTATTATAATGAATAAACAATACAAACAAATTATTACTTGTTATTTTAAATACTTGTTAGTGTTGATGAAAACATAAATGGTAATTAAAGTTATTCTAAATACGGTCCGGTCCGGTAGCTCAAATTTTACAGTACGAGTGATATGTTTCAGGACGAGTAGGTAGCCGAGTCTTTAATTTCGAAACGAGTACTGCGAAAAGAGTTACCGGACGTATGTTGTTATGTATTTTATTTCATACTGTCAACATACTTTTTTATTCGATAATATTATTATTATTTTGAGAAAAAATCCAAATCGAGTCACTTTTTCTGACATCGTTAGCAACCGCTCTTTGGTAAATGTTTTAATTTGTTTATTCGTGCAAATCAGCATCATATGTTTAAACACATAGTACTTATAACACTTTACAGGACTTATTGTTTTGTATAATCCGACTCGATGGACGAATGTTTTGTGTAATCCGTCTCGAAGGACCAGTGTTTGTGCAACTCGGCTCGTCCTACCAGTATTTTTTGTAATCTGGTTGATACGACAATGTGATACCGAATTGTACTTTGATATTGCTCCAAGGACCTTTGTTTTCTTGCGTGCGAGATAATAGACAGCGTTCGGTTTCGATGTTTAATACAGGACGGTTACAGAAGTACTAAATTTACATTTGTATTTACAATAACAGGTAAAGCAAAAGAGACCCAAAAGGGTCAGTGGCCGCTTCCGGAAATGGAACACTTGTCCTTTTTGGCTCAATTTTATCGGACTTGTCCGTTTTTTTGATTTTACCGGAATCGTTCGATCCAGTAAAACGTCAAACTTGACATAGTATAAAGTAAAATAAATAAATTTTATTCAATTTTGACATGTAAACGAACGTTAATTTTGCCGTCAGTAGGCCACTAAAGCTTTGGTTTATCCGGTAGCACCATAAAATTTTTAAACCGCTAGCGAAATAAAATTTTTATTTTGCTGTTTTAAAACCATGGTTACCATTTCTGTAATTTCTCCAATGCCTTGCTGCTCTTTCCATCTAAGGAACTTTTGATACACTTTCTGATTTGCTCTTTTTTGGGAGCAAGTTTTGCCGTTGGAATCTTGCATGATTTTGCAATTTTTCGATAATTTTAGTTTGCTTAAAATAAACAAACACCGTCGCCAGAGTCACATACTACACACACACACCTGATATTGTAACCTAAATTCTACGCATATAAAACTTTTATTTGGTCGCTGTCAATTCTGACGTTTCTCGAATGTGAACTTTGAATCACCAATTTTTTCACAATTTGGGACTTGGGGTTGTCAAAATTGAATAAAAGTTTGTATTACACTCGCGGTTAAAATGAATGTGTAACTCGTGGTCTTAAGGCGCTCGCGGCATACGCCGCTCTCGCCTTAAACTGGCCGCTCATTAAACATTCACTTTAACCGCTTGTATAATAAATAACTATTATGATGTAAATACAATTAAGTATATCGATAATTCGCTACTGAAAATTTATTGAAATATAATTTGTGTTAAAAAAAGATTTTTGTGGTTTTATGGTTTATTAACATAATTTACTTATTTGAAATTACATATTTTTAATACATAGCACAAGTTCTTGATATTCTTTATTTTTATTCCAAGTAATAATTGTGTTTCCTTTAGTTTTAATCAAGAAAATTTTTCGGTTATTATCTAACATACTTTTGTACATTAAGAAACTCCATTCCACGTCACAGGACGTTACAGGACAATATTTAAATAAATAAAGAAGTCGTTTTATGTGTTTTAAAATTCACTCTGATTTCCGGACTTTAGACTTTTTGGTGTTTCACTTCGGCACAAGAACTAGTCGTATCTCAAAGAAAACAAACAGTGGAATATACCGTATTGTACCTATATTTCATAGTAAAAATGTCTAAATTTTTTTATGAAGAGACAGACTGTTCTAGGAAACTTTACTAAATCTTTTCATTTACGAGCTATTGAAAGTCCGCCGGTCTCACTGATACTTCTTACTTGGCTCCTACGAATGAAGCGAAAAATGCACAGATTGAAAATATAGTAAATGGGGTAGTATGTATGCGTGATATGTCGTTAGACATTAGGTATTTTGCAAATAAAATTTATTTCATTGAAAAAAGAAACAATAAAAAACATATCTGTACAAGTTTGGAATCGATATGGCCTGTTGTTTAGAATATGCAAATATGCTTTTGTTCGTATTTACAATTATTACGAAACAGGTTATCAAATAATCTATTTTCACATGGCGAGACTTTCAAGCGGCCGAAGAATTAAAAACCATAAATTTTCATTGAAGAAACAAACTCTTCCAAGAAAATTACCAAATCTTTTAGTTTACGCACTATTGGACGAGCACTCCTTAAGGCTCGCGTCTGGATCGGTTTCGCCCTATACTAAATACATTGAAAACATCGTCGTGGTTTCCGGAGTTGCATTTTAAAAATACGGAATATATCGCTTTAAAAAAATTATATTTCGAATTAACAAACTTGAGTCCAGGGGACCTCCGTATTTATATTCATATCTAGTCCGCAGTTTTTACAAAAAAAAAATGATAAAGTTGACCAATTTTTACACCAGACTTAACCGGTACATTGATGCATTTTTTGAAGAAGTGCTGAAGTGATTTGCATTCTGAGATAGGAGGTCCCCTGGGGAAAAGTGTCAGCTTTCTTTTGATACCATTTATAATCCTAAAAAATTCACGACTGAGGTAAATAACTCTCGAAAAGACAGAATCTGTTGAAACGAGAAATCGCCATTAAACGAGCTATGATGCCGTAGCAGAATACAGGTTTACTTAGATTCTGGTTTGGTTGCAGACTTAATTTAATGTGGACCTTGTCCACCAGGGGGAGCTGTTTTTACTCAGCGATTTATCGGAATAAAATTTTGATATCGCATTTCCGATTTTACAATACCATTTCGGTTTTTAGAAGTGACAAAATAACGTATCCATCTTTTTTACTAAAACAGTAAAAAAGATGGATACGTTAAAAGTTAGTTATTAAGTATGTTTTATTTAAGAGATCAAAAGGTATTTACAATCCTCCGCAGCTGAGGCACATATAAATCTGTTTTATATTAATTATTTTTTATCCTCTATGAAAAAATAAAATTGAAACGTGTTTTATTATATATACTCTGAAACGTCATTGAGTTGTTGGTGAAGATGAAAGAAGTAAAACGATGTCAAAGTTTTGTAATCATAATCAACCTACGCCGATATAGGTATGATTAAAAAGAGATGAATTGATGGCAGGTAGAAAAGCATATTATCTTCTGTAGGACAGTAACAGAACAAATCGGGTTAGCGACTTTCTATCCAGACTGTAATACTCAGTATAATTTCACAGCACACACTTGTCAAACCGAACCCATGCAATATTAATATTTGTAAATGCTGCTTATTTTAATTATATATTACTAATCCCTTAAAAAAATGGGGCATACAGACAACCAACAAAATTTAAACATTTCAAATTTTTTGACCTCCTGTTCAGTATTATTTCAGGAGCCAAACAGCAGCGATAGAATTTTTCTAATTTTGGAAACATAATTTCTGTCCATATTTTTCGATCTCTAAATATTGTTTCTATATGGAGGTTATTCTGATCTCCACTATAAACCACAAAGTAGCAAATCTCCTTTTCACAAATTTCCAGTTGACCTTGAATCTAAAAATGTTGTAGTTTGAATTATGACGGGAAAAGGATTAATGTTTCACAGCTTATAACATACTTGATAAAAGTATTGATGATTTCGTTTAAGTTGGATGTTTTTATTTCAATTCAATAAACTTATGTGTTTTTTTACTGTTTGTACAATTTTTTGTACTAATTGCACGTTTTGTTTTTTTTTTGCGTAGATAAAATTTGTCACGAGCCATTATTATAAAATAAGGTGTAACAACAAAAATATAGTGCAAATAATTTGTAAGTGGACGACCGAAACTATGTTTTAGGCAGACACTGACAAAGTGGTAGTAACATTGGCAACTGTTCCAAAACTGAGTTTTGCCGAAAAAAGGTACTTTACGTGCATTTCAAACAATTACATTCATAGGACTCTACCATTTCTACCAGCCAGATGTAAACAACCACCTACAATAAATTTAACAACTTTTGTTTGTCACCGGAAGTGGGACTGGTATTGCGGACTGAAATTATCCCTTGTACACGCTTTCGACTCCATTTGAGTAACAATTTTTTTCCGAATTTAAAATTACGTTCAAGCTGTTGTTCAAGCCTAAAATTTAAAATTAAATCTTTCCGAAACAGTGTGACAAATATGTAGTGAACAAAAAATATTTACACCTTATACAAAAAAATGAGGTTTACGATGCGCAAGCATATGATATATGTAAAATTAAAAGTGCAAGTCAAAGTTAATATGCATAAAAAATAGCAGCTGCTTCTATTAAAAA